TGGAGAACCCCATGGATACAGCAGCCTGGAGGGTTACACTCCATGGAGTCACAGAGTCAGACATGACTGAGCAACTAAGCATACACACACACACACACACACACACACACACACACACACACACACCAAGTAGCAATGGCATTTTTCACAGAACTAGAACAAAAAATCCTAAGAGTTTTTATGGAACCACAAAAACCCCCAAAGAGCCAAAACAATCTCGAGGCAGAACAAAAATGAGAGGTATCATACTCTAATTTCAAACTATATTACAAACCTACAGAAATCAAAACAGAATGGTACTGGGATAAAATACATACATAGAGATCAATGGAACACAATAGAAAGCCCAGAAAAAAACCCACCTATTTATGGTCAATTGGAAGGACTGATGCTGAAGCTGAAACTCCAGTACTTTGGCCACCTCATGTGAAGAGTTGAGTCACTGGAAAAGACACTGATGCTGGGAGGGATTGGGGGCAGGAGGAGAAGGGGATGACAGAAGATGAGATGGCTGGGTGGCATCACCGACTCGATGGACATGAGTTTGAGTAAACTCCGGGAGTTGGTGATGGACAGGGAGGCCTGGCGTGCTGTGATTCATGGGGTCGCAAAGAGTCGGACACGACTGAGCAGCTGAATTGAACTGAACGCCAATNCTGAATCTATGACAAAGCAAGAATGTACAATGGAGAAAAGACAGTCTCTTCAGTGCTCTTGTGAAAACTGGACAGATACCTGCAAAAGAATGAAACTGGACCACTCTCATACCATATGCAGAAATAAATTCAAAATTAATTAAACACTCACTCCACCCTAGAACTGGCATAGTACTCTGAGCAGAGCACAGGCTCCATAAAAAGTTCTGACTGGAGGGCGAAATGAATGGATGGACAGTGGGGTGGTGGAGGGACGGGAAAGAAAGCAGTGGATTCTAGGGCCACCACACTGCTCAACTTTTTGACATTTTAGTAACAAAGGCATGCATTTTCTTTGCATCTTAGTTCATCACAAGTATTTATGGGTCCTGAACCTTTATGGACACTTTTAAGCAACAGGAGTGGTCTAAATGCCCTCAAAACTGTGGCTTTTTGCCATCACTCCCTGAATTCTTCATTTCTAGTGAAGGAACAGCAGTCAGAAGAGCTAAATTTAGCTGGTTCTGATCAGAGAAAATGGGCAGCTCAGGGTCAGTAATGATGTCTATAACCGAAGACCAATAGAGAGGGATGACAGAGTCTGAGCTGGAAAAACAGGATCTAGAGGATGTTAAGCAGGTGACTCTGGACTAGATCTTGGGTGGGGACTGAGCAGATGCCTAACGATTAATATAATTAATATGCTATAATATATTAATTATACTATACTCTTATTAGTCTTTAATAAAGAGATTTATTTCTTCCATTCTTTGTTTCTTGCTCTCAAAAAAATAGCAACTAGAGCTTCAAATCTGAAGCTTGACTCACAGGCCAGATAGCCACTTTCTGTGCCAAACACCACAGTAGCCTAAAGGACTTTAGGTATCACGAAGGGGTTGCAGCTTTGAGATTCAGAAAGAATGTCTAAATAACGTGAGTGAGATTTAAATGCTGCATCCCTGATTCTTAATGGATGGGCTATATCGGACACTGAAATATTCTTTACATCATTCATATTGGATTTGTTAGACTATATAGAAGAGGCCACTTGCAGCAGACTAAGTCAAGACTAAAATTCCTAATGAATCAACATTTATCATAAATTTGGTTTCATATTAAACTACTCTGTTTCAAAAAAAAGCCCAAAATCTCATTAAATAGCTAGAAAGAGCTAGAAGTACATAAATATGCAGATACTATCAACTTGGTGAAATTACTGATGTCATTAGTGTTTTATTGTACAGATAACCTTTCTGTACAATTTAACTCATAACACAACTCATTTTTTTTTTTAAAGACTTAAGAATCTGAATCTTTCAGTCATGATTTGTCAATCTGCTTCTGAATTAAAAGGAACAAATAAACAAGACCACAAGTATGTCAGTTGGCAAAGAATCTTTCATGGCACTTGGAGAGTTGGTTCTTGACTGAGGTTTGCTTTCTGTAAAATTCAAGAACAGGACAAAGCCTCCTCCCCCACTTCACACCCACTGGGTTTTTTTTTGGGAGAATCCTTGGATTTGTGATGCCCTTTAAAACAGTGAACTTAAGCCTCATTATCAAGTCCATGGAGATTTAGGAAGAGTCCTGAGCATTCTCCAGGGATTACTTGCTACTCTGAAACAAAGCTGGATTTGAAAAGCAATTCTCCCAGGCACCAGAGGGTTGATTAATCTGCCATTTCTCCACTGAGACAAATGAGAGAAGAAGCAATGCCAGCAAACACTGTCCTTTCAAAGGATCCTCAAAAACCAAGCAATCTAGAACACAATCGCCAAGATTTACGAGTCGCAGGAAGTATGCTAGGGACTTCAAAATAAAATAAATTCTCCTGCTTATTTTGGCTGAGTATTTATATTCTTTTCAGACTCTAGCCAGATGGTTCCCCAGTAAGAAAAATTTCCTCCTGGATTCATCTTGGGACAGTCACTCTAGCCTGCTCCCCTCAGCCACCTGGGGCTGGAATGTACTGAGACTGTGGAAACTAAAATCTAAATCAGGCTCAAACAAATTTAACCTAGAGGGAACTCAACTTGATAGTAATGATATTTAGCATTTTCAATATTAAGGGTTTTTCTGGTGAGTGAGACAGTGAAGAATCTGCCTGCAATGCAGGAGACCCGGGTTCAATATCTGGGTTGAGAAGATCCCCTGGAGGAAGGCATGGCAACCCACTCCAGTATTCCTGCCTGGAAAATTCCATGGACAGAGGAGCCTGGCAGGCTACAGTACATGGAGTCGCAAAGAGTTGGACATGACTGAGTGACTAATGTTTTCACACTTTCATTTTCAAAGCTCCCCAAAAATAATGCTTAGAGAATCTACCCCTTTTTATCATTAAATAATGTAATCAATAATATATAGGGTGCAGATATTTAAACAAATTTCAAATGGGAGAGAGGTATCATGAGCCCATCTTCGAGAACACAGAGGAATCAGGAAGGAAACATGATTTTAGTATCAGTCAGTGACGTCATGTCTCTTCTTCACCAGATGGGTGACCTTGACCTAACATCCCTTATCTTCTGTAGTCAGTGCAGGTTCTCCTAGTTTTATGGCAAAACAGTGTTTGAACTGGAGACAGAAGTTCTTTCTGTAGGAAGCTTTGTAATTCAGTCATGGTTGTCCGTTACCAGTGGCAAGGAAGGAAGTCCTTTACTGAGTGAGCTGGCCTCAAACACACCCTCCAACTTATCTTTCTCTCATTCTAAGAGGCTTTAAATTTGACATTTTTGCGATTGTTCTACTTCCTTTCAAACTGGAGAAGAGCAGAGGGAGGCAAGCAGGTGGCCCTTTATTAAGTCCTCAGGACAATCTCCACTTTGCAGAAGAAGAAAGAGGATAAACAATTTTGCCAACATCACACAGCTTCCAAGTCTGACTTCAGAGTCCACTCAGTTCACAGTAACTATCCCTTAGCCTCCATCTATAATATGAGGAGAACTGAAAACAAATCTTGCCTTATAAAAAATAATAATGAAACGTCCTAAGTCTGGAGAGCTTGAGTTAATGGATTTATTTTCACTGAATCTGGAAAAAACAGGGTGATTGTTTAAGCCAGATGATTTTTCAAAACTGTAAATACTATAAAAGAAATTTCAAATGTAAAAGCAGAGGTTAAAATTTTAAATTCTGTCTTAACCAGAAGAAAAATCACCTTCATAGTTCTATCTATTTCTAGGACACTGACAAATGTTGTACAGTTTGTGAACTTGAATGCAAGAGATAGGTAGTTATGACCTTGCTGTAATGGTTTTTTACACCATGTACCATTTTTAACATTTACCTTAAAAACAGCAGAATATGCATATGCCACAGGATTATGTATTTTTTACTCACAAGGATTTTAGGTAATTACATCATTTCTAGTCTGCAGAGGTTTATGGAATCATATTCACTCTTTCTTCATTGTTGTATTCTAATAAACATCAAGGGAAAATGCTGTTCATTTGTGAAGCACACACATTATTTGCCATAACTGAGAACTTTCTTTCTTTGATGCCATCGTGGTTACCATTCTCAATACCAGTAATTTCAACTAACTTCAGTTTTATAGGTTTAATTTCTTGCCAAAGCTTATGAATGAAACATTCAGTACTTACAAGTATCTTGGGTCAAATGTCCAAATACAGTCTTTTAAGGATTTTTTTCCCCTGTAAATTTTATCTTTCAATTACCAGATCAATTACTTTTTAAGTCACTATTACCTAGACTTATATGAGAAAGTGCAGTTACTAGAACAAACAGGTCAGGGACAGGGTGACAGCTGTCTCCCACTTCCAATTCACCACAAGGAGTGAAATCTGACATGTCCCCTGATCCGGCTAAAAATTCACAAACGTTTTATTCATTCTTACACTCTTCCAAATGCATGTATTTTTTTCTCTGCAGTACTTTAAAAAATACCTCGATAGAAGCATGCAGATTTAACCACTGACTCAGGATGGTAAGGTGCACAGACTGGAAGCTTCCTTCAAGGTAGAATTACTTTTTTTTTTTTTTCTCTGACAACTGCCAGGTGTTTCTTCTCTAAGAACGTTGCAGTAACTAAGTATCTAGGGCAGGGGCCATGACATGAACTTGAAAGGTTCCCAGTGTGAGCTAAGGGCAGATGGTAATGAGACACCAGGTCAGGCCCAGGCCCTTAGGGTTAATGCGTTTCACAGGGCAGCCCTCACATCCCCGCACTTGTTTCCTCGTGGCCGATTGTGGGTGAGAATGTGCATACGTGAGGACCACACGAGGTGTGCAAAGCAACCACCCAGCATAGCAGGGCATGAAGCACTGTGCACGCCTCACTGTTCACTGTCACAACCTATAAAGCCCCTGAAATCAAAGCAGGAAGAGGCCCAGACTCAGACTTACCGACTCTTCGTTCTCAAACTCCGGGTTACACTGCGCGGCCTCTTCGGCCACTGGCTTCTGAACAATGTTCCTACAGACCAGCCAGATGGTCAGGCTGGCGATGAACATGCCTACGTCAGGCACAAACACTCGGATCCCATTGCCAGCGTCGGCTCCCTTTAAGCTATGGAGGGAACAAAAGGGAGGAGGAAATTCAGTTGTTTTGATGTTGCAATGGTTAAACCATCACAGAGTATGTATGAATACATCACCGAGTATGTATGTATGAATCACAGAGTATGTTCGAATCTTCTTAAGATTCAAAGAATGCTCAGTTTCTGCCTGGAAGGTATCAGAAAGCTTTTCTCTGACTCCAGTCTTTCACAATCTACTAAGACTCAGGAAGATTTCAGGGAGTTTCAGAAATAGCATGAAGAACCCGAAACCAACTCTCACTCCTAAAACGTACTGATGAACTAAACTGTTATTAAATATGCCACATGTCCAGGACAGAGACAGGTGTTTGTAATCCAGTGGGAGCAGTTAAAGACTGGATGTACACAAGCAGCCCTGGAAGTAAATCCAAGTTTAGAGGGAAAACAGAGGAGACATTAAAACCATCCTTGAACAGGAACCCTTCATTACTCTGAATGCTGAGTTGATTTTGTCTTCCATCTTGTTCCAAAAAAAGGCAGGTCATTAACAGAGAGCTCAGAAGATTTGGTCCCAATGTCAGCAGGACCTGGTGGCTATGTTTCACTGGGATCCTGTGCTCCCCTCTGCCCCAAAGAGATAACACTGTTGGTCTTCTTTATCACATAGGACTCAAATGAAAGTGACCCAACGTGTATCAGAGCTAAAACTTGTTTAGGGAAAAGCAGCAGAATATATGAAGTTATGTCATGTGAAGATACATATTTTTCAAATACACTTTATGTGATGAAATATATAGTCATCTACATTGAATATATGATGTATTTGGGTAAAAACATAATCAATAGCAAGACCTCTATCACCTAGAAATAACCGTGTTGACATTTTAGTGAATTTAAAAAATCATATGATATTGCTTCTATGTGGAATCTTAAAAAATGACACGAATTATTTACAAAACAGAAACAGACTCACAGACAAAGAAAACAAACTTCTGGCTACCAAAGGGGAAAGGTGAGGGGGAGGGATAAATTAGGAATTTGGGATGAACATATACACAGCATTGTATATAAAATAGATAAACAACAAGACCTATTGTATAGCACAGGGAACTCTACTCAACAGTTTGGAAACTATAAGAAACTACTATACACGCAATCTTAGAGTTAACAAAACTAGCCTCATACTTTACTGTTTTTGAAAATAATTTGTTCATTTAATACATCACTCACATCTTCACAACTCCCTGAAGATTTTTAAACCTTTACCACACTTACGGTCAGATAGTAGCTACTTAACTAGTCCACTACTGTTGCACCTTTAGAATATTACCATTTATTTGTTACCATAAAATGAATGTAACTCAAGTCTTCATTAACTGAAGAGTCTCCTAATCCAGGATCTTCTAGGAAAAATTCCCCAGACCAGTCTGACTGGCTTTTTACAAAAACAGTCTGGACAAGGACCTCCCCATTAGAAGCCTAGGTTTTATACACGACTCTAATCTTCTCTGAACAGAGAAACATGGAAGTGATGAGACATCCCTTTACCTCCATAAATAAAACACACGTGGTTGTGTGAGAGATTTTAAGAAACGGAAAATTTCTTGCATTTGGGCTAAGAGTAAGAGAAATCAAATAGGAAAACTTTATCCAAACGTATAATACTGTGAAAACTTCATCTAGACTTTACAATTACTTATAAAATTCATAATCCAAATCCATAATGAGGAAATCTGATGATTGATTTCATCATAAGAAAACTGTAGAGGTTTTGCCTACTTTGCAAGTACACCTAACATGATCAGACAGAGCAAAGGAGGATTCATATCATCAGAACAAGAATTCGGAGATCAAGGAAACAGGCCAGGAGATGAAGGCCAGGCTGGACGGGGAGGTGTTTACTGGGTGGGGCTGAGGTCGGGGGAGCCGGCAATCTCTCCTGAGTGAATTTGGGGGATAAATTACTGCAGCTCTTTTGCGGAAAACGAACTGACCATGGCATTTTTTGAGAAGCACAAACCAAGCCGACTGGAGGGAGAGTTCTCTGAGGAACGTACCCAGAGTCCCACCTGGCGCAGTGGACCCAGGAGCCGGCTGTGCCTGCCCCCCTGCCCCCAACCCCAACCTGCACTCTGTACATGGCTCTCAATTTGCAAACAGCGGCTTCAAGTCAACAGCCTCAGCTTTGTGCTCCTAGGTCCCCAGGGAGACACTCAATCACCCACAAACATGAAGAGAGTAAATGAACCCCAACTGCAAAGCAATTACTCCCCAGCCATGACAGAACGCGGCTCCCAGAACCAGAACTGGGCTGTGGTCCAGCTCAGAGTGGAATCCGTCAGCCACGGAGGTGGCAACCTGTTACCTGCTGCTGTCACCCGAACTCACAAAGCAGCACATTGAGATCTGCCAGCCCACGGGCTCCAGGAGCCTCCAGAAGACGACAGTGCGGGCCGTGGACAATGACCAGGTCAGAGTCCACTTGACACCTCCCATGGGGACCATATTATCACTACAGTCTCCGTCTTCGCTGTCTAGACCAGAGTCTACTGAAACACATTCATCAGAGTGCTAGTCCTCAGAAATACTGAGAATTAAAGCAAAACATGACCAAAAAAACTGCCTCTGGTAAAACAGTTAGACAATCACAACAGTTATTATTATAGTGAAGAACTTGAGAAGTTCTGTAGAAAAACAATAAATTGGAGTTTATATAAACCTCTGAGCTTCCCAGGTGGCTCAGCGGGAAAAGAACCCACTTGCAACGCAGGAGATACAGGAATCATAGGTTCGATCCTGGGGTCAGGAAGATCCCCTGGAGAAGGGTATGGCAACCCACTCCAGTATTCTTGCCTGGAGAATCCCATGGACAGAGGAGCCTGGTGGACTACAGTCCATATGGTCGCAAAAGAGTTGGACACAGCTAAAGCAACTGAGCTCGCAAGCAAATCTCTGCTTCCCAAATTTACCTAAGCACAAACCATTTCTTAAAAGTTTTATCTAATATCTATTACATTCTGCCAAGCTACTGCTCATGGCACGGGTTTTAGAAAATGCTGAGCTGGAGTCTCTTCATTGGTCTAGATTTTTGATCACAATGAATGAATACTTTGGAAATTGTACTTAGATGTAACTAATTCCTCATATATTTGGTTTTGAATAAGCCCCTAATAACTACAGTGCCTTTCTTAGGCATTGGAATGAAAACTGACCTTTTCCAGTCCTGTGACCACTGCTGAGTTTTCCAAATTTGCTGGCATATTGAGTGCAGCACTTTCACAGCATCATCTTCTAGGATTCGAAATAGCGCAACTGGAATTCCATCACCTCCACTAGCTTTGTT